ACGGCCGAAGCTAGGCAAATTGCTTGGCTGGCCGCGAGGCACGAATTTGCATGGCCATTTTCACGATCGCAATTCTACGGTTTCCAATGGTTTTGTGATCGTACAAAAACTCCACCGACTATTTACTCTTCGCCCGCGTGACTCGCTCTCTTCCGACGACGAGGACCATCGCTTGGCGACGAATGGTAGAGACGCTTTGGCAAATTTCGATACGGTATAAAGTTGGACGCGTTAGCGGCACCGCGTCATCGAGGTCGATGTGCTTCGTGGAAAATGGACGAGGAGGAAGGGGTTCGTATCGAAGTAAAAATTGACGAGAACGAGACGAGAACCATCTCGAAGAGGGGGAGAAAGAACGTCAGAGTAAGAAACGGAGCGACAGAGACGGTAGAGAGATTTTTGGGGTTAATAGGAGGTATCAAGGGTTGGAAAGATGGCTAACGCGTTTAAGAGAGTCTCGCTAAGGGAGCCTGGAAGTAATTCCATTAATAACGAAAATTAATTGAACGACGAGTTCTTTCCGTGGAATTCCGCGAGTGGTCTGACTCGTACGAAAGGAACGGAGTTCGTGGCCGAGTTAAAAGGGTAGGACGAGCTAAGGACGTTTCCCGAATCCTTTGTAATTAAAGACTTTCGACTCGAGAGGTAATCGTCCCGGAAGTTGTGCCATCAAGTAGAAGAAACAGAGCGTACGTTAACGAACGATATTTACCACGTTCGTGGTCTCGAATTAATCGCAGATGCGCCAGAAACAAAGAGACGTTATCGGTCTCGTTTCTATCTCCATCTATCGTTTATTTTCTTCTATTCCAATCACCTGGAAAAATCTGTACGGTAACGAGAAGAAATTTGAGCAGAAGAGGGGAAGGTTCGTGTAAAACGAATCGAATGGAACGAGAGTGTCGGACGCGATGTACAAATACTTCATTAGCGCGCATAAAAATTCACCGAGTAACCCGAAGGGATTTTTATCGTATATTTTAAACGACAGGACAATGTTCGTCGATCGGCTTCAAGTGAGAGTTATTTATATTTCAACTTTATCCTCGCGCTAGTCCAGCTTTCGTTCGTGAACCTCCTATTCGAGAGGAGACGCAGTTGCTCGTCTCTGGTTTTTATTCTCCCTTGATGAAATCTATTCACGGAAGCAGGAAGATGAATAAAATTTCTGGTATACCAGTTAGGCGGTCTTATTAAAGCATAATAGAATACCGATTACGCGAACTATTAATAGAACGATCAATTATCGGAACAACGATTAACGAAAAATTCGATGATCGCGAGTAAGACTGGGAAATATAATAGATTAGAAATAAACATAGTAGATTATAATATTTAATATTAATATTTATAATTCAAAGAAAGTTGCTCGATTATCCAGCCTGTGTCACGATCAATTCGGATAATCAAGACTGCACCGTATAATAAACGCGTAGAACGTGTAAATTTATGTACAAAGCCGAACAGAAAACTAACACGTCACGTCGATTCTATTTTATTTCGTTTATATTTACTTTATCCATGCTTTTCTACTTTGGACGGCTGCCGGTTATATCGTCGTTTGCGCGATTCTGTCTTATTATAAATAGGATTTTGAATAAAATATTAGATTGCCGTGAAAGTTTCTTTCGTTTCATAAGGTGATAACAGACGAACAAGAATTTCTGTTTTATATCATTTTATTGAATTACGTATGATTCATTTCGTTCTATTTCTGTTATTACGTTCGTGCATAATTCAATAAACTAATATAAAACAAAAAACTATTATAAAACGAAAGAAGCTCTTCGGACAACCTGATACGATGATCAACTATATCCAGTTGATTTTTATCGGGAATAAATAATTTATAAATAAACGTAGCGATCAAAAACGAAAGTATCAGTCGACAGGTGTTGCGTCGCTTCTGCAACACGCCCTAATAGCACGTGCAACATCGCCTTTGACACGATCAGTGACCACGCATCGGTCGTCCGTGTATACTATACCTATAAACTAAACCGTATATGCCATGCCGCAACGAATCGTGCGTTCGTATCGCTAGATTAAATCACGCTTTACGCGGAACGAAGAGCTGCGGCACGAAGCGAGCCGCGTAACCCGGCCTTTGCGCTCGAGAAACACGCGTAAGAGGGAATCGGCCGACGAACTGCGAAACTACAAAGCCCCTGTGCTCGATTGTGTACAGTGTGGTCTACTAGCTTCCGGTCTCTGGCGTGCAGCAGTTTACCATCGAGCATCCGGCTATTCCGTCCACGCAATCTCTCTTGTCTATAACCTGCGCGAATCTCCGAAGCGTAATCCTCAAAGTATAGAGAATAGAGAGTTACCTGTCGTTACTTACGAATTTCAATATTTTCCTCTCGATACGTGCGCTGTTGGTGAGAATGGAGATGAGCCTAAGCGACGTAGGTTCGATCGGTTTCTAACGATATTGCATCACTTTCCTTTGAGATCATTTTTAGCAACAAGGTACGTACTCGCGTGTATCTTCGTTATTGGCCGAGATGGTCACGTTTCGAAATTTGTCGTCCACGTCGTCGGATATAAAGCCGAACGCAACTTTACCGTTGTTTTTACTATTGATCCTTGGGAGAAGTGTCTAGCTTTTATTCCGCTGGAGATCGGACAGTAAAAGCGTCAAATATGTACGCGGAGACAGTTGAAATCGACGGCAGATTCGAGAGGTTGATGGTCGAAGCGCGGAAACGAGCGAATCGTTCCCCTCTGCGATCGGATACACGTCAGAAATGCGAGTGGGATTGTCAAGCGCAGGAATGATGGTGCAGGTAGCACGGCATCGGCGATAGGGGCGTGCAGGAATCGACGGAAGTGTCAGTGACAGTGTAGGGATTTAACGAGTTTTCCTGCCCTTCCCCTATAGGGTGTACTCACGTCGTCGACCGACGTGTGTCTCAAATAGCGTAATATAGCGGCAAAACGATGGAAATCTAATTTCTCTCGATTCAGCCACGTTGTTCTTGCGTCTGTCTGCTCGCTGACAACATGCAGCGCGTGACTTAATTATATTCTTGATTCTGAAACTGGTCAGAATGGCATAAGGCACACGACAGGGTCTTCGTGAACAGACGCAAGTCGGAATCCTTACTCGAGCGTGCTGCTGCTTGTCTCTCTCTCTCTCTCTCACACACACACACACACACACTCTCTTTCTCTCTCTTTTTGCACGTTTCCTGTATCTCGCTACTCATCGTGCAACATCAATTCCATTTTCTATCTACAAAGACTGGCGCGTGAGAAGAGTCACGAGACCGAGGGAGGATGAAAGAAGGACAGGGAATCGGGTAGAGCCTCACAGCGTGAGGTAGACAGAGAAGAGACGAGCTAGGAGGGTGGGAGGCGGGCGAAAGAAGTCGGAAGCGGTCGAGGGAAAAAAAGAGGATTCGAGGAGATTTAATACCAGATAGGATTGAGAGGCAAGGATAGGGCCGAAGGTAAACATCTTCCTTAAAAGAGGGCTGAATTTGTATTTTGTCACCCGTGAGCACATGCATAGCTAAGCCTGCGGCCTCCTCTACTCGTCGCAACAACCGTGCCCAGGGGACGTCTAAATTTTAACGGGTCGTATGGGGTCGCTGTCGTTCGGACACGCCTGTATCTCCGCGTGCGTTATATTCGCTTGTTTGCCTTCTTTATCTCTCGAGGGGGCAGAAGATCGTCTTTTCGATTCACCCCTCCGGTACTACGATCGTATTCTTTTTGCTTGGCGCGTTAAACAACCCAAGCAACGAACGATGGTTCTTTTTAAGCAACTTTGACTATCGAGTGGCGGTAAAATGGGCGGCGACCGCGTTCCTTTGCATTTACGAAACGTTCCATACGCGTCAATGGCGCGTTGGGAAGTTAAGCGGATAACGACCGGGAAGAAAGAGGCGCCGTCTGGCCTTTCCGCAACGACAAATTACGTTATTTGCCGCGGTTATCCTAACGCGAGAACTCGTCAATATGGTCTTCTGTAAATAGCCGTGATGCGCTTAGGTTAGCGTCGATGGGGAGTTTCTGTCGAGCTTCTAACAATTCTAGTCAAGCTGTTCTCTTTCTCTCTCTCTCTCTCTCTCTCACTTCCTCTCTCGCTCCTGGATAAGCTTTTGTTCCCATTGAAATCGGTGGACGTTGTTCTCCGCGAGCTCGAACCAACTCGTTTGAGATATTAATCAGTGGAAGGAAGAAACAACGGATCAAGCGGGTATTACGCGCCGTAGAGACTCGTATCATTCGCTTTCAGATCTTCCCACTAGCCGTTTCGTCGCTGTGATGTTCTGACGTTACGATTCCCGATTTTGCTCGATAAACGGCAACGGTGCACAAAAGTGTTTTTTTACCATCGCGTTATATCCCGAACGCGTCGCGATTCTTGTCTGTTTATTTTAGTTCTCGCTGAATTTTGTCATTTTTTGTGACCGGTAGAACGAATCCGATTGTAAATGTCCTTCGTAGCAAGTTAGGACGCGTTTTGACCATTTTTTTTTTACTATACAACTTCAAAGTTTTCGGATATTCGCAGAATCTCAGAGTTTGTTGTTCGTTTTCTGTTCGCCGCTGTATTTCTAACTGCAAAAGATAAATTCTCCAGTTTACTAAGTCTGTTTTCTTTTTTAATTTCAGGAGGGATCTCGCGGTGATCGGAAAGAGGGGGGTAAGAGGGGACGCAAGCCTGGAAGGAAGGCGTCCGACAAGACGGACATGAAAGCCAAGCTCGGTAAGAAGCTTCTCTATGTATTTGTCACGTCTGCTTCAATTGTACTACTCTCTATATTATTCAAGCGTGGACATTAGAAATTCTTAGTATTTACGGTAGATCGCGAAAGAATCGAACGCTTATTATGGAAAATTATTATGAATATATTATACGCGTTATGGGAAATTTATCGAACCTTCATTAGCATTGAAACGAAACACGTCTATCGCGACTATATTGGTCAAATTTACGGCCAGTGCGAATTTGCAGGACTAGAGGTTACGAGACATTTATTCACTCGGTAAAAAATTATTATAGTATTCTATAATACAAATATGTACTTTCGTGAGTCGCTGTATATCGATGTATACCTTCGCGTTACCAAGAAAAAATGTATCAGGCAAAAATTGCCGGATAGGTTAAAAAAACGCTCGGAAGATTGTATAAGATAAGAAGATTGCTTCCTTTACGCCTTCGGCTATCCAACGCGAAATTTTCCGCCGATACGACGATCATGTAAATCAAGGATGGTAATTCCGGCTGTCACCCCTTCTCCGCGTATTCCCAAAAGCTCGTTTCATCGTGAATCGTTCTTTTTTCGTTGCCGATGGCTAACGATATTTGCGCGTCAGCCTTAAGAAGCCGAGTTAGCCCCGATTTGCATCTTCACCGATGGTGTATTAAGTAGGAAAACAAGATGTAACCGCATGCGTTGCACAAGCCACGTGAGAAATGCACGCTGCTTGATTACGAGGCGTCGAATAACCGTTCTCGAGTCTCAGACCCATGACACCGTAGGAATATTTATCCTTCCCGAACGAATGAATATTTATGCTGGGTCAACTCGGTGGCTGGAACCGATGTTCCCGATGATTCTGTGCCACGACGCGATGGAAAGGTGTGCTTTGCAATTCCGTCATCTTGGCAGTCAAGACGAGCGAAGACATTGGCGAGAAAAGCTCGAAACGATGTTGCGGAATATCCGCCGCAGCCACGTTGCTCCTTTTCGTTTTCTTTTCTCGCGTCTTCCTTTTTTAATTTTCCGAGCTTTCCATCGTTCCGCTTTGCTTTTTCGCGCAGCTTCTATCTTTGTACATACGCGTTCACGTATAAACTCGCGGGGTAATCACGCGAGAGAAACAATTTTCCCCATGGATCCAACGTCTCCCTTCTTTCTATGCCTTCATTCCCGCAGCTTTTGCTTCTACGTGCATTCGAACTAGTTTCTAAAGGTTGGGCGGAAGCAACACGGACAGGATCTAAGCTCGTTTTACGACCAACTTTCGCGTTTGCAATCCTCGCAGCTCCGTGGTTGAACCGCGCTTTTCCTCTTGCCCGTATTTCTCTTTCTTTTGTGATTTCCTATCCATCCAGCTTCCCTGATCTTTGCTTCGAATCGACGCCGCACGACGAATACGCTGGTTTCGTCGAGTCTTTCGACAGCCGTAATTCGTGACGTTGCCACGACCGCTTCCGGTTTCGCTCGGTCAGCGTCGTAAATCCAATTTTCCCTAATTTCATTCACGCGCGCGATCTCTCCGAGCTTCCGATCGGTTGTTTTCACACGGATTTCCCGGTCAGATCTTATTCGACAGACTCGTTCGATTTCGTCCAGATGTCAGCTCCGAGCTACATCGTAAATGGAGCCGCAAATTGACTGCGCGAGAACGTTTAATTTCCGTGTCGAGATCGAATCGATCGCGGTGGCTAGCTGCGTCACCGACGCGTCTACCGCGCGAATTCATTTTCGATAAAATTCTCCTTGATCCGACTGCTTCGAACGTCTCACCGTCGTCGAGAGTCTCTTCCCGCCTGTTCCCCGGACAGCTTCCTTTTAAAAAAGAAAGGCTGCGACACGAGTGCCGGGCAAGAGACGTTTATTGCCGCGTAAAAGGCGGGCTTAGTGAGCCGTAGACGCGATAATAGCCGCGACCCTTGATCGTAAAGAGCTTTATCACACCGCGGTCCCAGACCACCGGAGAAATTTGCAATATCCTGCAACGGACTATTAAGATCGATTTTATCCGGCGCTTCGTCTTCTTCGCGAGTGTTCGTGGCGTAGCGGAAATGTTACGCGCCGCGCTATCAAACCAGTGACGTCGTTCACGGTTCGTTTCCTTTATCCTTTTTCAGTAGACAATGCAATATTGTTAATTAATACAGAGATCGAGGCCATTAATTAAAATAGCAAAGTTACTTAAATATTAAAGCTGTTTAAATCATTTGAAATTCTCGCAATAAGATTTACATCGGCGAATCGTGTCGTTAATTCCTTATTTTTCCTTAACTCTTGTAAATAATTTTTAAAAAGTATAGTTCGTTATTTCGCACGAACATAAACTTCTGGCCGATTAATCGTTTCCGTAACAATCTGAACCAACTATGATGCTCTATACAAGCGAAGTAGGTGCCCTAATACTTATATACGGGGGTCTATATATCGTATCAGAGTTTCATCAGTACCCTGTGTCTGTGTAGTACGTATCGCGGGTACGCCAGTACACGTGAAAAATAGCGCGTCACATTTGAGTTACGCGAATTTATCGCGCAATGGTTGCGTACACTGCGGATGCCCACGTCCTTCACCTTCGTTTGTAATTTTTACCACGACAATTTATGGCAAATCCAGCGGATGGAGCAGGCAACATTTATCGATGCTCGTTCCTCGCCGCGTACAACAGTCCGTTTGTATACCTTGTCTAAGTTTCGTATTTGTTTTACGTAGCACTAGGTCTATTTAGTTTCGATTTTATGGCAGTTGTTACGTGGTAGTGCCATTTCGTGCAGTTGCTGGCAGGTTAAGCAAGAAAGCTATTCGAATCCAGCGCTGCACATACATATAGGGCGTAACGGTATTTGTATGCGGAGTCAGATACGAGTGGAAAACTTTCCTGTTTTCGATTCAAACAGCTGACGTTTCGCGGTATTCTTGGGTTCGTCCTTTCTTCCTTTCGTTTCTTATCTTCAGAACGAAAGATCTTTTCCTTCTTAAACGATTTCCATACCCGAGCTGGATTTTAACATTCCAATTTTATAGAGCTCAGATCGCGACGCAATATGGGAAATTCAGTTAATTCCTGCCTTCATCGATGTAAACCAACGAGTCACGAAACTTTATTTTAGAATATATTTCTTTTCTTATTCTTATTCAAAATTACAAACTTATCAATTAGCGTATCGAAGTACGTACGAAAAGAAGTTGCTAAAGTGTTTTAGAAGCTAATAAAATTTCAATTTGGGAATGTTATATAATAAACAGATGTACTTGCAGGTGTTGCGAGTGTTGAAGAGTTCAATGTGATTCGAAATCTTACTTGTTTCGTATTTTTGTTCGATGCCATAATTTTTTCGCACGTGCACGATTCCTGTCACATCGTCATAGACGACAGAGCCGGAAAAATAGCATCGCGTTACTAGTTACCGTGGTATCGAGCAGACGCTAATGCTCGTACTAAGCTTAACACGTTTCTGGGTCTCATTAAGCTGCAATTTTTTGTTCCTTTTACATGTCTCATTATGTTGCTCGTGTTTTACGCGAGACGAGGTTCGGAGTACGATGCGATATTTTCCATCCAAAACTTGTCGCAAAGTCGCGTAAGAAAGCAACATTTCAAAAATATTCTGTCAACCGTGGTTAGAATTCTGTTTTACTTATCTCGCGAGTGGCAGACCTCGAACGACAGATCTATTTTGAATTATTAACATCGTATTCCATTCGTCGTTGGATTCGATTTCGCGTGAAAAATTTACCAAAGGAACATCGGTCGCGTTACACCGGGTCGTTTGTTTCGCTTTCCTTCTCGTGATCTCCTTTTCCATTACTTCTTAAGAACGCTTCGTAGTTGTCGGAGTTTGAATTTCGAGATGTAAAGGTACGAAACGAGTTGGGTATAAAATTGTTCAGAAAATTGAGTGGGCTGGACGTGAGGACAAAGCTATAATACTTGTTTATATCATACTCTCGTCTTCTCCTTTCTAAGCCAAGATATTCTATTTAGTGTGTTCCCATGTTTCAAGATATATTCTAAGCGAAGTTATATTGTACAGGTTATTAGGAAATAACGAATACATATTTTTAACACTAGAACTATCACACCAGCCAAATTGACTGGTTTTACAATTGTATTTTAAAATTCCTACTTCATGTTATATATTTTTTCCGCAATGATGTAATGACTTTCGCAATGATAATTAAAAGAATAATATAATGAATTTCATTTTGTTTTTTATGTATTCAAACTCAAAGTAAGTTTGTATCAAGGCTACCTAATAGCAGTCAAAATGACTGGTACTTTGTCAAAGCGTAAAAAGCTCCTGCAATCTGTTTATCGAACCTCGATTGACCAGTTTCCTCGTTTTGTACAACTTCTCACACGTTTTAATACTTTTTACTGCGTTTCATTCAACATGATGATATCAGTTATCAGGAAAGCTAACACTAACACTAGAAATACCACACCAGTCAAAACGACTGGTTCTACAATTTTATAAATGTGTCAACCCTCGTTTAGGGGTCATGGTCCCAGATGGATTAATAATACGAAAAATTTACTACATAACATGGAATTCCATCTGTAATCAATAAATATAAAAATATTCTATTATTTCGTACTTTTTTAAGACCAGTTATTTTAACTGGTTTTGGTAGAAATAGTTCCGTGTTAACTATCGGTAGTTCTAGTGTTAATTGAACGTAGAGAAATATAAAATCGCCGCAATAAACCGATAGCTTTTCTTCCATTTGGAAATATTAGATAGAAATGGTAAAAAGTAGTTTTATCTGTAAGAAAAATTCACTGCTCGATGTATACCGTATGTGACATACGGCAGCGAACGTGTTAAGCAGTAAAACGTTACTGAACGTATACGACACTTTACAAGACCTTCCCTAGTTACATCGTCGTGAGTTTCTCAGGTTTACACTCTTTTGGGTTTATTTTTCCAGAACGAAGTCGACAGAGCGCGAGGGAGTGTCGTGCTCGGAAGAAGCTAAGATATCAGTATCTTGAAGAGCTGGTAGCCGACCGCGAAAAGGCTGTGCTCGCACTTCGAAGAGAGCTGGAGATGGTAAGTCCTTCTTCATGGGAATGTCTGCTTCTTATCCTTTATCATCTTATTTCCGACGATTCGTTTCTCCATCATATTTTGCTCGTATATCCTGTAATATCCCCCTGGCCGTTTCCTATGCAACGAGACGATAATAAATCCTTTCGCTCGGAAGAAGTTCTCGCGGCTTGCAAAGTGAGTTATACACCTATTATTCCGGTGCGCCCCTTCACGGTGGATGTTTTTAAAGTCGTACGTGTTCTCGATTATGCAATCGCGGGCCATTTTATCCAGCTCGTTCGGCAAAGAGTTACAGCTGTCCTAGAATCGTTGCGGAGCGTTGCGTTTGTATTTTCTGCGTGCGTTAATATCGTAAATTCCCGGGGCAAGGCAAGAGGAACGAGAATACCGGAGGACACAAAGTTTTTCCGAAGAACCATAAACATGTCGAGGTTCCTACCTCCTTTTTCGTCTTTTTCCTCTTTTGAACGGATTAATGGGCGTCCTGAAGTTTCCAGAATTAGTTCTGCTACCTAGACAACGATAGAGCGCGCGATGCAGGCATTGCAAAATCTCCTAACATTCATCCCCAGCGATGTTTCCTGGTTGTTCACGGGCCGAGCGTATCTTAGTTAATTACTTTGTGTGATTATCTAATGATGTTCGATATATATATATATTATTACTAGTAAATCGAGGATAACGCATTTAGAAACGTGACTATCGGACGGTTGCTAAATCTCGCGTCTGTTTGCTTTAGATTTTCATTGTCGTAAAAGAATCAAATCCGATAAGAGTTTTAAAGGTACGTACATTTAAATTGTATGATCATGGATTAAGTAGAACGATGCGAACCCCACGAGCTTTTCACGTTTTAAGCTTTTTCTTGCAGTTGTATCGAAAAGAATCTTTCCACACGTTTATCCTGCACGTTCAAATCTACCGCAGAAGAACGACTTGTCGAGCGAATAGAAGAGGAAAGAGCCTTTCCCGCATTGTCTATCCACATCACCACCCTCCAACTTCTCCAGCTTCCTTAAAGTTCCCGAGAACTGTTTGAGTATAAGAAACGACGTTCGATCGCACGTCAGCTGGAAGCACGTGTAACCGCTATCCCGTTATTTTCCTTTCAGTATCGGCAGTGGGGACAGGAATTGGACGCCGGACGAGTTCCCGAAGGGCTACAAGCGATGCTGGAGGAGCTCGGCTCTCTGAAGCGGGAGAAAGCGGTCAACTAACCGAACAAGAAAGACAGAAAGAGAAACACGAGTCAGAAACATCGAGCTCTGCCATCTTTTTTTGCTTTTATTCATTTTATCGCGATAGTCGAACTTCCTCCCGTATTCCTGGTTATTCTTTCGACCGAAAAAGTCCGCGCGGAAGAATTCAGATTCTTTTCAACGACTCGTTCGAGTTCTGTCTTGCGTTTTTGTACGGAAGAAGTCGTTGAAAAAAAAAGAAAAAGAAAAAAGAAAGAAAAGAGAGAGAAGAAATTCTATCTCGTCCAGACTTACGATTCTGTCCCACTTTTACCTAGTCTTTGTACGTTCTCCTCTTATCATGTTCTTCTTTGGAGGAGAAATCGATTCGGCGTCGTTGTTTCTCTAGTTATTATTATTGCGTTTTGTTTTTGATACTTTACACAGAAAATTCATTCGTGCCTCTTGTTACTTGTGATCGATTAAGTTAACAAACTTATTGTCCTTGTTTTATTATCGTTGCGACTCGACGATATAAAAACAGACCCGGTCAACGGTGACCAGGTACTCGTTGTACCGAAAAGTACCTAAAAGAAGTACCTTCTCTAACGATTGTTAAGAAGAGAGAAAGAGATGAAAATTATATATCTTTGTTACGCGTCGATGAAGAACGGCCGTTCTGTATCATAACGAAAAGAAAGTGATGAAGTACATATTTGCTTGTTCCGAGACTCTGTCATATATTATATAATAGTAGGTGTACTTGTTGAGCAATCTAGATCTCGTTTCTTTCAAATTATCTCCAGGTGCGTTTTCTTCTATTCTGATAACACAGCCGTGTGTACACGACCGACAAAGATTATCTGTATGGAAATGGTATTTTTGTACTGTCGTATAAAACGCTATTATTTTGTGCAGATTATTGATATTGCGAGAAACTTGTTCATATACATATATCTGGGAAAAGAAGTCTAAGGATTGAATAAATCGAATATTTTTAAACAAATCCGCCTCGTTATTTGTTTGTTGTTTCTTTGCCTTTTTCATTCTTTCGTCAAGATTTTTCGATCACGAAATCATATTTTATTATTCATTTACAGTTCTTATGGTCGGACCACGGAGAACGCAGTTTTATCGACGTCATTTTGGAATAATATTTCTCACGCCATGACTCCGCACAGCTGTCCACGAATTTGCATATTTCGTTGTGAAATACGTTCGACAACGAAATCTCTGTTTCGATTTGCGTAGATTGCAACGCAATCTCCCATCCATATTATCCAACGCGTCGAAACGACGTTACTGCTGTTCGATAAAAGAAGAGATTTAAAAAAAAGAAGAGAGAAGGAGAGAGAGAGAAAGAGAGAGCGAAAAGAACGATACGTGTCGGTGTGCCCGGCCACGTAAAATATTTACGAGCATATGGAAAATGTAAGTATCGAAGTCCTTTCGGACGAATCAGACCGTCAGGTCAAACGGTAATAGTGCCGATAATAATAATTGAAAGAAACCAGCTGACCTATATACTAAGAATAAGATATTATTTCAGTCTTTGAACAGTGTGCCGTTTGTTATTTAAACGCCACCTTGGAAGGAGATCCTGGTATCGGCCAAAGTATTTAATATCATGGCGCGAGAAAAAGCCAGGAAAAACGAATACTACGCTTCGTAACTTTCTGCTGCTCTTACGCTGTAATTCTTTTTTCGTCGTTTAATCGCTGAAACTTTAATGGACAACGTCCCACACGTAATTTTCCCTAAATCTAATTATCCTTCCGCAAAGCAGTTTAATTTAAACAGCTTACATTCATTCCGCTGTATGGAACACGGTATTTCAAGTATAAACAAAATTCAGTCGTAAAAACGCGGACACACGTCAAAATGCGTGTACAAACGTGTGTAATTATACGAACGTGTAAAATGACACGCTTTTGAAAAAAGACAGAACGTTTCTTAATAGGTTTCCAGAGTTTCTCATGAATCTAGTTTTACCGCAGCTGCCTATCAGTCGCACTTGCGATGATCGTAAAAGCAGGGGCGCATGTGCACGCTGTCTTCTGCATCGTATAACGACGCACAGTTCCTCGCAGTCGTAAACTATGGCCCATTCAATTTCGTTTCCGCGAAAAAACGCGTTTCCACCTGACGCGCGCGCTGGACGACGCAGCCAGTTCAAAAGGCGCGACACGGGGCGAGGGAAGAAAAAAAGAAACGGTAAAAAGAGAAACGATGGAAATAAAGGGTTGTCCTCGAGAGAATATGGAAGCGGGAAGAAAAAGTAATATGGTAATTCGATAATGCTAGACAATGGTCGCGAGTCTCCGGCCTGATTTACCACGCTCATGCGAGTGTATACTCCGTCCGCGTTCTGAATTTCAGCCGCATTAGGTTGGATGGAAAAATTTCTACCTATTTTCAGTGAATTAAGACGGTTTAATATCGTTAAGCGGTGGCAACCGTGGCCCTGGAAACGCTGCTAAAGAGTCGCGAGTAAAGCGCCGTTTCATTATTTCCTCTTTTATCCTCTCTTATTCACGGCTAACGCGTTTCGTTTCACTCGTGTTTCCCCATAAAGTTTACATTCTATTTTCAGGGATTGCGACGGGCGGTAGCGTCGATTATATCGCACGCGCACATATTCCACCTGTGTGCAAGGAAATATGGAAAACGCGGCAACACACAAGAACGATGTGCAAACGTATCACCTGTCCGAGTGTCGGAAGATCGAAGCCCGGTGAGTATCGTTTCTGATTCGAAATTCATAAAAACCATTCTTTACGCCGCAACGGCTGTTTACGTTGCAATCTTGACAGATATTGCGGGCTATATTACGGGGTCAGATAGGTTCTTCCGTTTAATCTGTGTGCTAATGCCGTTACCGTTACGAGCGGCGTGACCGGATTTGCGTTTCATTTACTTCGTAATTTATTCAATGACCGACACTTTTGTTTCTCGAATCTGCGCGAGCTAGTTCGCTTCAACGTCGCGCAACAGCAACGCGAGAACACGCTGCTTGAAACTTGGCGTGTTAATTCCGAACCGTCGCGCCAGTCTTGTATTTTGAAATACAATTTTTGCTCTTATCACGTTTTACGGTCGACGTTTGCAAAACGAAAGATATTTTTTCGCAGCAGCTCAAAATTTGTTATTCCGTTGTTCCGGTCTGCAGTAGCTTCTGAAAGTATTCGAACATTTGGAGAAACCTTTTGTGAATACATGTGTGTTATATGATACATTTCGAAATTTCACTTGACTACTACGGGTGCATTTGTAAAGTTTGAAACAAACCTGAAAATCTACGTAAAAATTGCAAAAGATTTAATACGAACGTATATCTCGCAGAAATCACAAAAGTGTTCAAACTATTGAATTAAAATCAGTTATTCGTTGTAGCAACGAGCCTCGATATTTTATGGAACCGTCCTAATACTCGTTATAGTTTTAGAAGTCAAATGGATCAATTCCATATATTAAAAGAGAAGGCGAGTAATAACGTCAGAAATATCATTTATTCAAATTTACCTTAAAATTTACGTGATTATGCTCGTGACATTCGTATTTCACTGCAGTGCTAATGAAATTTCAATTTCAAATACTTTCGCGTGCCACTGTATATAAGTTTCCATCAAATTCAAAACATAACTTTAATTACAAAAAGGAAGCTCAGTCTGCGCTTCTCCAAGGTGTGGATCAAACAAAATCCAAAGTAAATTTGAGGTAGCAGCGGGTTGAGAATCTTAATCTCGAAGGTCCCAGCTCGATACATATTTTATATGGTTGCTCGTTTCGTATTTCGCCGCGTGATCACCGAAAAGTTCCGGTCTGTTAAGGGTACAAATAAATTTTTGAACAATGTCCCGTTCGAATGTCTCAGGGAACACAGCAGACATGCAAAGATCACGCGAAATGAACGCACGCGTTCGACAATTCAAGCCACGTGGCGATTTGAAGATCCAAGAAATTCGAGGGCTGTAGCTCCGAGTGGCAGATTGTAGGGTAAAGCGAATCGCATATAAAAGTATACATAAAAGAAAAAGTCGTGGAAATTTTTCAAACGACTGTACGGTGCTAGAACGAAGGTTGGTCAAAAGTAAAGCCGGGGAACAAAGTAAATCGACTTCCATTTGACCGGACACATCAAATCGAATTTCTCCGTTTCTGTATCGATTCAATCACGGCCGCGATATAATATTCACGAACGGGCAGATTCCGTCAAATGTCTCTGGGTCTTGCGGTGTAGCACCTGGAAATGGTTTTCTATGGAGGTCGGTCGATCCACTGTCCGGACCTAGATAGGGTTAGCTATCAGGCTTTACGATTGACCGAATCGTAAAGCCGTCCTTCCCGAAGCGGGATACGATCAACCTACCAACCGATATTTGATTCTTGATCGTATAAGCCGAGAGCAAGGTCGCCGGTGCAGCAAATTCTGAGCAAATGTGCCGTTAATTCTCTGCCCGTTTGCCTGCGTAACCCCTTCAGCGTCATTTCCTCCTAGCTGTGGTCATTACACCGTCTTCCACTTGATACCTCATCTTCCTGCTGGCTCGAGGGCCAAAATTCAGGCCACCGATATTTCATTTCGTTCTGTTCGATACACCTGACCGACCTGGTTAATCCTCTTTCTTCGACCAAGCTTTCCTCGATGGGGAACTTTTTAACGTTTCTTGGTTACTCGTAGGGCGATCGTAACGTTCCAGGGTGATTCCCCCCCCCCGTTCTTTATGATTTAGCGATACACGGTTCTACGTTTGTTCGCAGTTTCATACGCGATCGCAGTAAAAATCCTCGAACAGAGAATAGAACAGCGTAGCTGAAAAAGTATCGTTCGCGGAATATGTTAAACCGTGCAAGAAATATAATCCTAGTTTCCATATAATACGCAGCGAGTAGTATTAAAGGATCAAATTTATAATTCGACTTTCTTCCATAAACTTGGATATTTAATCAAGAGCGATACAACGGCAGAGTGGCTTTGGCTTTGCCTTTCCACGTTCTTGTCGTTCCTCGATATTTCTCCTCGTCTTTTTGTATCTCCTTTCGTATTCAAGATATTTTCCTTCCTGTTGTTTCAAGCTTCTATGGTTCTCCTTCCGCCTGTTTCTTACAAAAGTCGTTGTAAAGAATCGACACTGCCGGGCAAAGATCGGAGTCGGAGAATAGAGAAAATCCACGGGAAAATGACAGTAAGAGAGGTATGAAAGAAGGAAGGAAACAATAGAGCACAGAGGGAGATGTTTCGTTTGCAACGGAAGGTTGGACGAAGAAATCGATTGTTCATTCACTGCCGCCCCGTCGAGATAGGAAGCTTAAGTGGTTTTTGCATGGCCGAATCCAGGTTTAAGCGTGTCAAAACTTTTTAACGAGCTCGTTAGGGACCTACCAATGGCGAAAAATTAATTATCACTGAAAGGACGATGTTCTTTCAGCCTCGCACCTTTCTCGTTCTTCGCGGACTCTCGTTCTTCTCTTTCTCTGCGAACTTTCGCGTGACAGTTTCCATCGGATACTTCTAGACGATCGGACGACGAAAACTCGTTATCTTCGTGGAACACCGGGCCCGGACTGACATTTTTTATTCCTGTATTTTCCACCTTTATCTTAAAACGTTGACGAATTAAGGCCACGTTTTTTACTGCACAACGTAAAACAGGATACAACGGGAAATAACCGTATAAAGATATGGGAATGCCGACGTTTCGGTTATGAGATAATAACGCATACAAGGCAGACAAGGAAACACACAGGATCTCGCAAACAAACGGCGGAAAATAAACTACGATCCAACGACTTTCGCAACGATACCGCGCTGCGTCAAATTTTGTATCCCGGAGGAGAACGATTGATTTATTCGATTGATAGGTAATCAGCCATTATCAAATCTGCGGAACGACAATCTAATCAAGCTCCGGTCGGAATTTACTGCACGTACCATCCTGAAATGCCAATAAACCAAGTCGCGTTTACGATTTCAACGTGTGCTTTGCACTTGATTGCCTTCTACGCGCTGTGTGAATCACCAACGAGCGCTGCCCTTTGTTACTTGTAAATTGGCGAATCGATGCACTCGATTTACAGCAGCACGTTTACTCGGACGATCTGCTTGTATCGCATTGACTTTCAGCCACGGTCTCGCTCTATCGCCGCTACCCTTGTTACCACGAGCCTTGTAATTGGTAATACGTACACAGTTTCGTAACTGCTGGTACAACTGCAGAAAAGGATAATCCTATACGAACGTATAAGTTGAAAATATGGAATACAACTTTTACATACGAAGATTTGTTCTCGAGAAAATTGATTCTATGATTGAAATACTTAAACGTATTCACCTCGTACGTATGCATCGAACCTGTTTCTCGGCTTACAGAATCTCCCTATGGGTTCATATCTCCGTTTATGTTTATATTTATCGCGTTGAATAAAATGAAACACACGGTGAAACAGAATATTCACGTACGATAAATTTGATTGTTGAAATTGTTGAAAATAATATTCCGTGGAATGGAATACCGCTCTTTGTGCTGACAAAAATTCGTGCGAATCCTTCCTAACGCGTTGTGAAAACAATCGTCTCTTTAATATTTTCAATATATCGCAGTCTTTTATATTGAATTTAATATTTTCAATATTGCCCGATACTTGCAATTTTTTTCAGAATGCGCGAATAAAGATCGGGCGGAATTAGAACGATCGTAGCAGTAAAATGTTTTATTTTCATAGGAGGGGAAAAAAGGATGGTATTGCTGAGTGAAGAAAAACAGGTGAGCTTGATCAGTTAAACAACGACCGTATTTCGATTTGCCGTCGATTTATTTCTGGTATCGGTAACGTTTGAAATGTTAGGATATACTCACGAGGCTGGCGCTTCGTTGATCTTGACTACTTGCACACGAATGATCGTTAAATCGATCGATACGAAACAAGTCTTACGATTGTTTTTTCTTCTTTTTCTTGCGTTTCTTTTTAGATCAGAACATAAATGGCATAAGTTTGAAACGACGCGCAGATTTACATAAAATTAACGATCAGATGGATTGCGGTGGCACGAGGGAAGTTGATAGTACGTCTTCGACTTGTTTTTATCGCTCTTCGCGTTTCTTTCTATCTTTTTTGCTCCATGCTCGTTCGTTTTTTTAAAATCTGGCTATATTAAAAGTTTAGTGTAAAAACATCGTTAAGAAAGGATATTTACTCGGTGCGTTAGTTAGAATATACGAGCCTTAATGTGTCGATTACAATGAATTGAGACGCGTTGGAAAAAAGTCAATTGTGATGATAACGCATCGACGCGCACGTCGACGTCAACTTCGATCGTGCAAAATCGTAGGAAAGTTCTCTCTCTCGTGGCGTGCGCCACGAAGCGCACTCGTTGACTTTGTCAACGTTTTCCTTTTTTTTTTTTTTAGGCTCTCTCGAGCATAACTTCGTATCTAGTTCCCTCTGTGACAGTCTGATCAAACCGGCCATTAAAATCTTTCAAACCGAGGCGAACGCTACTCGATGAAACGTAAGTTCTCCATTCTTTCTTAACCGAAATTTTATCTAATTCGTTCTCTTTGATTTTTTGATCTCGTCACGATTCAATCTTTTCTCGATGAAATTACGTCTGGTCGGTTTGCTCTATAGGAGGGTCAATATGTTCATCGACTTCAGGTACCATATGTACAAACATCGTTAGTTCTCTTTCTCTCGTACACGCATACGTACACGCACGCACAATAGAACACATTGAAGCAGTCATCCACTCGATTAGTAATAGTCACCGTCGTGTGACGATCGGTGTCAGTCGTTCGCGAGATCGATCGTTATGTGTACATATTTATACATAATATAATTATTATATTGACTAGAACGCGCGGTTTTGGTTCCAGCATCGACGAAAATATCGTTGAGTGCAAATTAAACACATCGATTATGGCTGATCTTAAATCTTTAAACGTTCGACACACAAGAATACGTGTCTTGGTCTTCGAAAGTCGTAGAGACGCTCGTCCTTTTATACAGACGCGTACATCGTTATCTCGCAACAAGCCATTCGTTCTGCTATAAAGGAAGAAACGTCGTTCCACCGTGACGAAATACAATCGCGCGATCGAGCTCTTCTACCCTTTCACCAGTCGCTTCACTCGACATTGTCTGCGAATACTCGTGTCTCGCGACTCGGGAATCTTCCAAGGAAATCGAGTTTGCCTATTTACTTACGTTCGCGTCCGAGAGTCGCGGATGGCACGGGGAAAAAGATCAAAAGAGCGAAGAGTCGAGGAGCTCGAGTCGTCGTAAGCTGGCGCGAGGTTTCACGAGCTGGAACACTTCGACAGAGTGTTTCCCTCTTTGCTGCTGCGACGATTGTTTCGCTGCTTACGCTATTGCTCCCTTTCTTCCTTTTTCCAACCATCGACCATCCTCGGAGCTGATTCGCAGTGGCTAAGGACCCATCAGTCGTTTCATGTTGTAACGGCAGTAATCTCGACCGATTATATCCTCGTACGGAATTTCCTCTTCCAAGGGTTCGATGCCATCCGCAGCCATGTCGTCTCGAACCTGCAAACACAGACACTCTGTTTCCATTTCGATTTCGATTTCGTCAGCGAGAACTGAAAGAACATAGAAAAAGGAACGAAGGATGAAACGATTGATTGTTACGTTGTTGTCCATGTAGCGGCATAACGTAAGGAATTAAATATTACACGGTTTTAAGCAACGTGAAAGCAAATTTTCTCGAGTAAATGGAAGTTTTTTGCTGCTCGCGTAAACTCGATATCGTCGATCCCGGAGAAACAGTCAATCAATTTTCACGGTGCTTCGAGTCGGTGAAAGGCGGAGCAGCCGAAAGGAGGCGAACGTTAAAGAAGGAAGGCAGGGAAGGAAAATGTAATCGTGGTCGTAGGGTGCGCATGGCGTTGCAAATATTCTGAGGAAAAATCACGGTCGGGGCACGATCGTCGGTCGAGAAGAAAAAGGGAATGCGGAAGAAGGTGTATAGTGAAAGCCGAGGATGCCGAGGGAAAAAGTTCGCGGTGCACGTATTTCGTGCGACTCTGTACAGCCACCATCAATTTTCGGTAAGCCCATTAACTTTCCACGGCCATTACAGTGCAGCCGAAGCTTTCGGTCGTGGTAACGTTCGGCGAACGCGTTACCGATGTTCACAACTTTTTTTTCATCTACACCCCCTGTCCCTTTCCCTGTCTTTTTTAAAAATTTATTTTCTCCATTCAGCGTGCTCGTGTTTTTGCCTTTTAATCGTTTAACGGCAATCGTTCGTTCGAACGAGGTCTGCGCGTTTCCATCGGGAGGAGGCCCTTTCCAACATCGCGATCGCTGTTTCATTTTGTAGGTCAACGTGATATTATCCTTTAACCGATCTGCCCGTGAACGGAATCTACGAGAACGTGAAGGATAAAAATAAAGATACTAGAAGCGGTAACGTCACCGAGGCTGTAAAATACCGAGATTCTCATTTATTTCGTGCCAACCACCGTTCTGTGTCTTTTGTATTTGTCCTCGAATATTTTGGTCGAATAAATTTCGAATAAACGGGACAAAAAATAAAGCGATATCTGTTGCTCGCGGAAAATTCAAAAAGTCGGAAAGAAAATGACTTTCCAGCGTACACTCGACCATTTCAACTGCCCTAATCAAATCTAGTTTTGTCGTCGGTCTCGTGGTTCGTATCTTGCGCTGCACCGTCATAAAGCATCGTTCGTCCACGTTACGAACGCGCTTCGGTCGTAATACACGGTCGTTTTTTCATGGTTCGCGTACGTTTTATCTTTAAATTGAATTCTCTCCCTCGTCGGTGCACGACCACGAAACGTTCACCGTCGTGGACCACTCCGTAGAATTGTCGGGGAAATTAAAATGTTAATGGACGACGAGATGATTCGTAGGTAGGGGCCAAGACCCGTTTCGTCGAAGTTATCGTTCATAAATTCACAATGTTTTTAATCAAACGCGCCTCGTCCCCGTATTTCTTTACCTTCGACCGATGGTAATAGGCTCTCTTATTATATTTCTGAACAGGCTGAAACGTATCGTCGGTCGTCCGCTGACTTACGACCTTCGAGATCATAAGCCGTGCGCGAGATAACGCACCAAACGTCGTATATTTTTAACGTGTTGGACGATTTTATCGATTTAGAAGGAGAAACGTTGCTCGGTGGTTACATGAAAATGTATTAAGCGGCGCGAAGGCTTTCTCGTAATTATCCAACCGCACTTAACTTCTTCTTATTTGATCGTCCTCTGTCAGAATTCGTTACGTCGCGTCGCTGCCAGCTAGTTTGCTCTTAATTCTCCTTCAGACTTTATTTCGCCGATGTCTCGAAGCTTCTTGTTTCGGGAAACAACTGTGTTTCACACCTCGATTCTCGGGATGCAATTAACGAGAGACAATGCCGCTCGTAAAGCAATCGTGTCTCAGGACCAGTCTCAATTTCCCGACCATTTCTTCTTCGCGCGGTGTTCATATCGTAGACGATACGTCTGCAGCTGCGTTTCTTCGTCTTTCTAAGAATTCTAAGGTACAACAGATACAGAAGATCGACGTAATCCCGAATTTTGTGCTTGCCCCAGAGGAACAACGTTGAGATTCAATTCCACCAACGGTGTTTCGTGCGTCGGTCGAGTCCCCAGATGTACGGTAGACCCGTCTATTGTTTTAACAATTACGACAATTCTCGCTTTCGGTAACGAACAGTCCGAAATCCGGTGGATTCTACGTGGAGAAACATCTATTCGCAACAAGGAGCAGAGAATTAAAATCGTTCAAGCCATTGTCGTTTGTGACATGTTTGGTAACACAGCGAGAGATAGATATAGGTACGTGCTTAAAGGAACACGTACTTACAGATGAAGCTTGTTTCGTTTTGTACGTCGATGTATGAATTAACGTCACCTGTCAGGTCCAAGGAGTTGCATTCGTAGGTAACCGTGTTCTAACGAAACACGAGTGATCGTTCTGCTGGAAACCGTGCTTCATTGTGCGGATAATTTGCTTTTCCCGGAGTCTAGTACAAATTTCCGCGAGCGAAACGTTTAATTGGATCGATGGAAACTCTCATCTTTCCCCTTCATGAATCTCGTCGAAAAGCAAGCGATTCGTTTCGCTTCGTTCGCCGAGGTAAAATCGTTTGTCAGTTTTCAACGTATCGCCCTGACTCTACCACCGTGTTCCACGTTACTTTTGCGTATTAACGAAATCCGCTTTGGCCAGTGTTTCGTTGTGTGGACGGTGAGAGGATCGCGATTAAATTATCGTTATAATTTCAGTGACGGCCACGTCGAGGGTTGTCAAATAACCGACACTATTTGTACGCGTAATTTCCCGCATTACACGCTTTTGTGTAATTCCACTAATGTTCTGTTAAAACATACTCCGGTACACGTTGTTCATACAGCGAATTAGTTTACTTTGGGCTTTTCCGTTATGCGAGGACTCTACGATGCAGTAGCGAAACGTAGAGAACGCGATACGACGTCAAAAGAACGGGAGAGATACGCCATGGAAAAGCGATTTTACCTGTCACGTCGGGACGTTATACGAATTATTTATCTTCTACTCGTTTGCTTGTCGCACATAGAAAACTGTATGTGACTCGTTACTCGATATTATAAATTACAAACGATAGATAGTGTCTCGATGTTTATGTAGATTCATATTTTTATAAATGCAATTAAGGAAGTGGTGTACCTGCGTACAAGTCTCAACTGGAAATGTACAAACACCGAGAATATCACTGAATTATGGAACAGAAATAAATCTCGTAGGTACATGTGACAAATTTGACAGCTTTCACGAACGACACGATCGAAATTCCTAAATAAGCTTCGGAGAAGTCGTCATTTTCTCTCGGTCATGGTATTTCTCAATTTCTCTGCAAATATCCCTGATCGCAAATTTGTCGGTTTTCTGCCTTACTTTCCTCCGTCGGTCGTTTCTTTATCTCTGAAACTCGGATAAACGTTATCGCGTGGCAGGGTAGCGTGTTAGAAAACGCAGGTAAAGAACATATGATCTCTGGTATACGCGATACGTACACGTGTGCGTGCACACGGTAAATCGGTACAAATCATGGAAGAGGGATGGTGGTTTTGGTAGGTGGAGAATCGAGCCAGCTGGTTCTGGGATTGGCAGGACTCCAAGAGAACAAAAATCGTCGGTGAGTGTACGCGCGGTCCAGCCGTCTCTCTCGACGATGCACCAGCGAATGTATGATTTGTGTGCTTTATTAAATCCGATATTGGTCGACTCGGCTAACCTGGTTCAGGACCAACGGTTATTTCGCGCCAGAGACCAGGCTACCAGTCGGCTATCGTCCTACTGATTTTTCACTTCTGATTCCTTCGTATTTGGTGGTACGAGTCATGCGATAGGAGTAAGTCGTAAGTATTAGGACACTGACAGAGAATCGAGATAAATGTGACAGATCGTTGGAGCATTATTAAAATCTTTAGAAATTGTCAGCTAGTTTGGAATGTTTCGTGTCTTTATTCGGTCGCATACTAAAAATGATTCCGGAATTAGATTTTAGCTTATCTATTGGGTTCACTTGGTTGCCAACTCAATAGGTGCTTCATGTCAAAGAGTTGCAATGAGGTTCAGATCGAAGAATCGCATATATGCGTATAGTTCTTCGAAATTTAGATCAATTGTCGTTGTATCGTGCTCATACTTATTGGTATATATAAGATGATTTTATCGTAGGACGTTTACCTTCTCTACCGCTTTGAACACACGAATGAGATTCAGGCCTGCTAACTTCTGAATGTCCTTTTCCAACCATCCACGCGCCAATAGTTCTGCGAATAACTCCGGATACTTGCTAACATCTTCCAAGCCTGCCGGTGTCCTGAAAAGGATAGATCATAACGCAGTTTCGTGAAAATCTTCATCGATTGATAACACTAGGAATACCAAACTTAGGTTCGCTTGTTTCTATAATTCACATTAAAAATACGTAAAAGGTTATGGCAAAATTAATATTAACTTCTATTGCGCTAAAATTATCATTATACATATGTAGGTATTATTTTACTTTATGCAATAGGATCTCGTTTATTCGAGTAGATTATGGAAGAAGATAATTCGGATAATCGAGTAGTTCTGATAATTAATGCAAGTACCCTAGTTATCCCCTTTAACTGTTTCTATCGGTTTTAAATAATAGAAATTGATGGCTGAAGAATTAAAATCGGACACGCGTGTGCGTTTTGTCTATGTTATTTCTATATTGCATTCAACAATTGTTCCTTCTTTGGCTCGTGAAATTTATTCTGAATATACAAAGAAAACGATTGCATACGTTACAAGAATTTATTTCCCGTCGTTAGTTGAGACCGCAGAAATTGAATTGTCAATTTGTATATTCAAAACTATGCATTCGCTTGTTCGTACACAAAGTGTAAATAAACGACGATATATTGTACCGTACACTATATATTTGAATCATAATCATGCTTACATGTACAATATAAACCGGTCGATAATTTTAATGTTAATATCTTCGTCGATGTTCAATCGTCTCTCGATTAATACACTGCATTCTTGTGACGGAATTCAATATCGGCTTTTCCTTTTTACGGCTCGCGTTAAATCAACATTCGATAAAAGGCTTTTCCTCATCGGCGGTAGACGGAAAGTTCGTACAAGCCCGGAGATCACTATTTACATAAATATTTCCACGCGATAAAATAGGGTTTTAATGAACCGAGGTAAGCGCGGCGAGAGTTTAAATTAGAAAACTGCTTGAAACTTTTATAAGAGGCCGGCATACTTCACGTTCTCCATATTACTACAGTAATTTTACCGCCGCGTAATTCTTAGGAGGAAGTTTAATCTATTACGCCGGTCCTGGACGAATAATCCTTTTCACGTTTAATGCGCGAGCGAGCGTACACGCCGAGAAAACTCGCGATAACCTTTGTTCATAATGCATGAGTACGGGGCAGGTCCCTTAACGCGTATAAAAATTCACTTGCGAAAGAATTAGCAACTTCTTTCTACGATTTTCCGCAATAAGTATGTGTACACATATATATAAACATATATATATATACACACACTTGCACACGCACACAAATACTTTCTTTCAGTAAGGTTATTCGATTTCTGGCTCCGCTTGTACACACTTTTCGCTCGTATTCAATTACACGCGGCGCGGGAACATTAATAACGTTAAGATAAAAGCGAAGAAATTCCGAACGTCACCGGTGCTAGTTTTTCATTCGAAACAAAGCTGTTACGACGGAAATCCGAAGAACGGTAACGAGCTTGTCGGGAGAAGGAGCTGCCCTCCTCCAAATTACAATTCTCCTCGGGCGGTTTATTCCTCATTACTTTAATTACTATAGAGCCAGGGCCGGATGATAGCGCGGCTCGTTGGCTGGCGCAGAGCGAGAAACGTCAGGGGGCGATTTCGCTCTTTAGGAGCCTCGTCCGCCTAGCGATCCGAACGTGAAAATGTGCTACGAGGTCGAGCTCTCCTAACTCGTTTCTTTTTATAACGACTTGGGATGATGAGCGCAGATGAGCCGCCGGGCAGATAATAAAAATTAACGATTACACGTATTTTCGTTTCCGATTATTACTACGTAATTAAGGTCGGTAAAAGTAAGTTCTTGAATCTCCCGAAATCGATCGATTCCCCTATTTTAATACCCTCTACCACGTGCACACAATTTTTTGCAGGTTTCATGCCCGAGCTATTCATACGTTTTATCTTTTCAATTCGGCGTAAAAACGTTTTGTGACGGTGGCCTTCTTTTTTTTTTTTACGTTTTAATTAAATGTATGTTTAACGACGAAATCGTTAAAACGCGACGGTTGGCTCGTTTTTCGTTCGCAATATTACAGCGCTACGGTAACTTAGCAATTAAACCGCGTTATCTGGGTCGTTGTGAAGCGGAATTGGAACAGCGTTACGTCTTCCACTGCTTCTTTTATATTTCCCTGTCGATATCCTCGTTACGATCGAACGCATATCGACGATTGCCTTTGTTGACTGTCCCTTCGGCTATGTTGGTAGCCGAAAATAAATAAATTGATGCGCGTGGTTCGAAATGGCAGAGACGTGACAGAAGGCTGGCTAACTAATTTCGATATGGTCGATGGCACAGCGTCGACGCGACGTGACGCACGCAGCAGATATTCACGGCGAATTAGAGGAATGACGAGCGAGTAGAGCGTTAAAAGGGATCAGTCTGAATTTCGACGTTCTCATTACGCGCGTCATAACGAGCGGCAGAGAAGGACCGGCCGACAACGAGCGTTGCAGAACCGTTGAAAGCTACCTGCTGACAATGTCGGTACAACAAGAGCGGTTAGAGACTTATTCATAGCGCGTCATATCGCGGCTGAAACTGGCAGTTATGTAGCTGTATACTGTGTACAGACATCGACTGTCTGCGGTCACGAGCGTTGTTTCAATCTCGGAAATTTCCAAATCGAGTGCGTCCGTCATTACGAGACGACCGTGAACGAGCACGCGGGGCCGACGTCGTGGACGTGGCGCGATCGTTTCCCAGGGAAATACGTTTCCCTCGTTGCCCGGTATCAGCCACCGTTATCAATGCCTCTGGCGCACGAGTATTATCGATATTAGCCGTCAGTAGAACAGGTACCGGTACTCGATTACGATATGAAATTTTTCATCGGCTCGATCCACGATAGACCATAATCATTTTACCAGTTCCTACTTCTCATTCTCCTCATACTTCCTTTCTTGTTCTACCGTTTCTTTTTTTATTTTTCTAATCAAGCAAGGAATAACAATTACGCACGCCGCTGGTGATTGGCAATCGACCACGCCGATAAAGAAAGGGAACGCGTGATAAAATATTACCCGTAGAAAATTGAGTCACAGAGATTTATCGGAGTCGTATGGGACGCGTTGCGTCCACTTCGTCGCACTACCGACGACTAACCGTGAACGCGAGTATCGCTACGATTCGCGAAATTTCCAATTCTGCGCGCCTTTCCGCCACAAAGGATTGTGATCGTGTTGGAGAAGAGGAAACGGCGGCTATAAGCGAGATTGGAACTGATTCGCACGATTTCCGGGATACGGGACGAGCCGATATCATGACGCAAAATACAGGCAAGCAGAACGTTACGAAAAGAAGGAAATTCGACAAAGCCAGCGTTCACGGTGGACGCCAGAACTGTATCACGACCATCTTTTTTCATTCTTCCGTGTTCTATGGACGACGACTGACGTCGAAACCAAAAATCCTATTCGACCCAGAAGATACATTTCGTCCAGCCGATCTGACAGTGATTTATAGGAGAGAATGAAAGGCGGAAAGAGGAAAAAGCAGCGGCTGCAATGGAAGAAACGTCGAAGAGATCGATCGATACTCCGCCAAAACGAGCGGTCGCGAAAGAAGAAAAATACATTCGGCACCGATTCGTTTCTCCCCCCTGTTTTCCGTTTTCCTTTCCCGATATCGATGCTAATTACGCCGATTGCAGGATTATTGGACAGTATAATTGATGGTAATTATCAGATTTAGCACAATTATGCTGGATTCCATTTGCTCGCTTGCTGTTTATCTCTCATCGGTATCAATTCGTCAGCGAATAAAAATTCGCGGTTATCTCGATCCACGCTATAAAACGTGTTTTCAAAATGGAAGTTTGACGTTATTCTGTAACTCGTCCGTTGTTTGTTGTCATCAAACTACCAAATCGTCGATCAATATTACCAAATCCCTTTTATACCATTCATTATTCGCTAACTAGTCTGTTATTTGTTATCACCGAACTGTACGGGATCGTCCATCAATATTACCGAAGCTCTTTTTTATTGTCGATAAATTAAAGTCCGGCGTCAGAAATAAAACGTTTTATACGCGAATGACAAATCATCTTCAAAGAGGTTCGTATCGAAAAATTCACGACAAGAATGTTCGTAACGTCACGGAAACCGACGAAATTTCGACGTTTTCCATTCTTTTTTTTTTTTAATTATCTTCCATTCAGCTATTCTTAGAAACTACGAACCGTCCGCAATTGTAACGAATTATATCGTTGAAGTATAAGAGTTTCTTCGAGGCGATAAACTGATAGAAAGTGACTGTCTTTGATACTTGTATTAACGCAAGCAATACTTTATGTAAGCGGTAAATTATAATTAACAGTTAAATATATTAGCGCTACGCTATTTAATAGGCGTTTGAAATTTATATTGGATTCGTTAAAGGGTAATTTGGTACAATTTATATTTTGTTGTTGCAAATCGACCAAAGCGTCCGGTTATTTATGAATGGTAATAAAAGGGAAAAAGGGAACTGTTTGAATGTTCCCTTTTTGTTGAAAGTTCGTGGGAAATCCAAATAGAACATCTATTTTTTGTTTACGTTTCCCTACAGAGCACGAGAATCTTCAAAAGAGGCGAACGAGATTATATGTTTGAACATCAGCCATGTAATTACTTTTTAATCGTGTTGTTACAGTGTTAATAAATATCTCTCATAGACCGTTATACGCTGGATGATTGAGTATATATATCTATATTTGCGTAGATATCGCAATTAATAACAAGGGTATGTGGGAACTCTGTTTGAACGTTACGGTGATATGAATTTTAACATTCTTTAAAAGCCTGCCTGTTAGCGTAATTAACAGAGAAGTATTGAATTCTGTCAATTTCGTATTTCCGTTTCACGTCCATCTATTACAGATTCAGCTGCTCTTCCTCGTTCAAATGAATAAATAAATACGCGCGTTTTGATCTACACGGCAGTGTCTTTTAACGTATCGATTATTCGACTAAAACCTAAATTATATACTGGCTTTATTCCGTGGTAAACTTTTCAAAAATATACTCGATCAATTTTTCATTGGTATTATTTTTCTGACAATCGACAAAAGTCTCGCGATTAATTGGTCGCACTTATTTGAGTTTATTTAACTGGCTATCGATCGTTATTTCGTTAGCTTAGTTAAGAATGTTTGATAAGGTTATCGAATGTACCAAGGGAACGGCTTCTTTTGTTATTTATTCCAATTCCACAGACTAACGAATCCGAACTTTTCAACAAAATATAATACTTTCGATACTTCGTTAAATTTCTACAGTTCATTATTATTCAATAGTCCAATTTTCTGGTCCAGTTAACAGTACCCTTTTTCCTCTTAAACGTTGTAATCGATGAAGAAGTATAGAGACGCGAGGGACTAATTGTTTTAATCGATTTCGTATTTTCCACACTATTAAACATACGTTCCAATTACTAATTCATTACATTTAGCTGTCTTACGGCTGCGCGAATGAAACAAATTTTATTCTCAACCTACGTTCTTCATCCGAGGAATAATCGTAGCTACGGATTGCTCGAATTCTTGTTACGTAGCCCGATGAAATTTTTAATTTAATATTGTCGCTGGCCCGCGTAATATTAAGAATTTTTTGCACCGCCGTGAAAAGGAGAAATCGTACATTATTTTCGTTCATTTCAACGCAAAGTTCTTCTTGAGATTCCTCTTGCCAACAGAAATCCGCGAAAAGCGTTATCCTCTATCTCTTTCCTAGACAAATGGAGCGCATACGCGAGTTCAATTTTATGGTTCAGCTACCAAAGATTTTTCATCAGATAAACGCTACTTTGAAGTTATATAATTAAAACTTAATTGCTCACTCGACAAACATTTGTTAATTATAATTATGTTATTTTATTTATATTTATACATACTGTAGATACACCAAGGTATTTCGTATTAACCTTTTATTGCCCAACTTAAATTCAAACACACGAACAAAAGAATTTCGTTGTCCAATTAATAATCGTTCAATCGTTCGCAGACAACTCGAGCGTGTTATCCGTATGCCAGAAGCGTTCGGTTCTCCCTGACAAAAGTACGAAAACGTTGTGGTTAAACGGGTTCGATCGATACCTTTTTCTTCTCGTTTGTTATTTTTTTGTTCTTCCCTCTATCTTTTTTTATAGTTCGACGTGCAAATCACGCTCCGCTTGCTTCGCGTTGTTTTTCAGTCCCCTCCAGCTGCGCGACTCCACACCCACGCGTGTTTTTCGCAACGGATTTGCGAAACCTGACAACTTTTTAGCATCTGCCATCCTTGCTCTTTCTTTCTGCCCCATTTCCCTGCTTCGTGCTTCTTTCTCTTTTTCGTTTGTTACGTCTTTCCCTTTCCCTTTCCCTTTCTCTCTCTCTCTCTCTCTCTTCCTCTCTGGTTTTTTTTTCGCGCAGCTTAATGGCGAGCTCTCTGATTCCAGCCTCGGGCAGGTATAATGCGTCACAGTCTCGCAAACAGGGTCGGCCGATAGTCGCGCGTTTCATCCGATCCTTTCGCGCCTTTGTTTCTCCAGCGACGATGAAACTCTGTTAAATACCTTCTACCGGCGAGTTATAACGCAAACAAAACGAGACGACGCGATAATAGAGCGCCGCGCCGTATCCCCGGCGAATCTACTTTTAGTCCGTCTGGAATATTCCTAGCCGCTCGGCTGTTTCTGTTACAATTAACGTCGCCACGAGTTAAAACCGGGTAAGCAGAAATTAGCTACGACGACAATTGACTGACGCGTCAATGTACCGCTCGATCAATGGAATATCGAATATCCATATCGCTCGATATCATCGCTTCTTCCATCCCCTCGCACGTTGGCGCGCGCTCGTTTTAATGAAACAGGGGTTGCGTGAAACAATTTCTCGCAAAATGGTATTAACACGTTCACTGTTTAAATCGTTTTAGTCTTCATTCATACGTTTTATGGTATAATCGATCGCGTCATATTTTTTCTATTATTCACCACCATTCTCAATATAACGTTAGCGTATAGCGCATACGTAGTGTTATAATTTCGTTCAAGAGAAAGTAGTTCAACAATTTTCTAGGAGATAAGAAACTTTCGAGTAAAGAAACTTTCTAAGAAACCATACGTGGCTTAGAATGGTTTGGGAAAGGACGTATTAAATATAATTTGTCTTCATTTTAATGCATTCTTTTCGCAACAAATGAACACGGTTTTGTTCTATTGTATCAGTTTTATTCGACGCGTGTTTTATGTAGTTTTCATTCAACATCGACTGTATCCATGCATAAAATAGCAATACACGGATGTAACGTAAAAAAATATCTTCCGCATCACACGTGATGCACCAAATGCTGAACCAAACGTTGTTTATCATATACGATGTATGGAGCATTGCACGTGTTAAAACTATTTCCAACAAAACACACAGAATCTCCCTAAGACGTTGCGCACGGTTAAGAACTGGCATACGGAAAACGACTTGTACGGCTTACCCTCTTGGTATTACGCTTTTATGAGGCAGTGGTCAACACTCCGGGAGGACATAAAAAAAAAGAACAGCACGTGCTTTGTGGTAGCTACATGTTGGATCTCGTAAATCGCAACCGGTATAAGGGGAACGGCACAACGTGGCAAGAAATTACCACCTTTCGTTTCTTTTTTCTGACCCTAATTTGCTGTGTGTTCGTTAAAGCTCGCACGTTCCTTGTACGTATTTTTCCATGTGACCTTATCACGATTTATCGCAAACGAGAGACTCTACAGTCTCGACTACAGTCCAAGTGTATTTTTATGGGTAACAAAAATGTAATGGCAATTCAACTGTAAATAAAAATTACACGAGAGACTTACAGATTGATACCATCGTAGCCGGCGCCTATTCCTACGTGATCCACACCAGCCACCTTTCGCACGTGATCAATGTGAGCTGCAACAGATGAAAATAACGAGTAATATTATTGGATCAATGGTATATAGTTTCGTTCATACGTATAATTCGTTTGATTTAATTCAGATATCCAAGGAGGAAAACCGCAATCTGCGTTATTTCATTATCTGTGTTTATTCGTTGTACAAGATATTCTCTTGGAAGAGCACGGTCGTTTGCCCGAAAATCGGCTAACGCTAATTAGAAATTTAATCGATACGACCGATTTACGCCTCAAATGAAGCACGATTTTGTTTATACGAATTTGTCGGTGAACATATATCGATAAGGATTAATAAAATATCGATAATTTATTAATAATTGCAGTTCGTATAGTAGAAATCCACTGATCCTCTCCGCTATCTACGATGTTTCGTTTGTGCATGTAACAGAAGCTTACGTTTAATTGAGCGAATCGAACCGATAGCAATACATTTAATCGGGCATTAATTAAAATTTCGCTTGTATAAACAGAGTGATAGTACATCGTGGCTTGATATTGGATTTAATTATACAAGGAAGGAAGAACGATAAGATTTGATTTCTTCTTTTCAGCCTAATACCGCGAATCTCCGTTACCTTAGGGCTTCTCCTGCATCGATGTGGGACAACATATGTTACGACCATAAACTCTAAAATATTATCAATCGTGTTATACGCCTCCGATAGTAAACCAACGCGTATTGTACCCCAAAATAGCTTCTCGTATTTCTATCTTCAGCGAACTTAACCTCGATGCTCACATACTCCGAATCCATTCGCAATCCTGAGAAGATTGGTTGAGCAAACATCGCGCGAGCTGTCTTGCTCGCGTTCTAAGTGCAAACGTCAGTTACACTTGGAGTTAAACGTAGCTTCGGGGTGTACTTGACGGGCAACGCATTATTCGAGGAACGCGTGGGCGATCACCGGCGTGTTATTATTAAGTGGCCGTAATTGTTGCGCTGTAGTCTAGCGTGCTGCGAGCAGCGCGCAACGAGAAATCAATCATGAGAGTAATGTTGTCAATGGGCCAGCACGATCCGGCGTGCAACCGCGCCAACTAGCCAAATTATTGCTGCGAGTCTGTTCAACGCGGTGCTTCCCGTTTCGAAGCATAATTTTCTCGCTGTTTCTACGTGAACCGATACATCGTACGGAAATGAATCGTTGTTCGACTGCATGATCCTTATAGATATCGTTATCGATTCGCTTCCGTGAACCTGTTATTTGAACACGTATGAATTTTCACGCGACAGGGTAGATCGTCGACGAAATAAAAGCTACATGGAGATGGGAAAATATAAATTATCGTGCACCGAACTTCGTAAAATTTATGTATCGTTCAGGCTAATTGTTTTTAGCGTTCTGGTACTCGTTCAGAATATTCATTTAGAAAAATTATTTGGAAAATAACTATATGACGTTATTTAGGAAAAAGGAATTTGCGTCTTTTAGAACGTAAACGAATTGAATTTTCGTGCCATTTATCTTTTTTCTGTAGCATTTTTTTTTTCTAACTTTAATCAGGAACGAAAAATGGAATAAGTACACGCGCGTAATAATTTTTCATCAGTAAAAGTCGACGTTAATTTCGCCAAGGATACCCACGTTTTCTTAGTATATACACCTGTAAATTCATTTTCTTTTTATGAGTACAACTAGAGAAATGGAAGCTAAATAGGGATTTGTTTCACCGTCTAAATAATTTAACGAGTACTTCATTCTGGATATTTTGTATGTTTTTGCATACTATGCGCATATTTACATTTTTACGTATTATAATTTTCCGTAATTGCGCACGTCTGTAGTCCAGTTGTTAACGATTGTAAAAGAAAAGAGACTAAGTTTTAGGGTAATGTTACATTAACATACTGCTTAAAATAACTAGAGCATCATTTTTTATCTATACACTTTTCTTTATGACTGTTTTGAAGAATCAAGTATTAACATTTCTACACGATTATTCCATAAATCTGTACTTTGAGTTTTACTTTTAAAATTCGCGACATTACACAACAATTTTTATTTGAATCGTTGCAATTTAATTGGACGTTTCCGTTCCCCTGTTCGTTACCGTCATTTCTCATTCCGTTAAATTTTATCGAAACTCATCGAAGTCACGAATTCCTTTTATCGTCCGATCCTCGTCGATGCCTTTGTCCATGTCCTCGACGAATCACAGGCGATGGAACGAACAAAAAGAAATCTGTGAAGAGAACGAGCGAATGAAATTCGTAACTCCTGAAGGGAAAGCTCGCCGCAATCGTGATGCTATTCCGTTTTAAGCTCTTTTTACCAGCATCGGGTTGGTTCGCCGATATTCGCCTCTTGCTGAATGCATTTGGTATTCTCAATGCCGAAGTGCGAAGGTTAACAAGTCTCTGCGTAAAACTGGCAATAGTCGGCATTTTGTGGCGTGCGGGAAATCGCGTATAAAAGCAAAGCAGCTCAAAGCAAGAAAGGGACATCGCGGTGTGCGTATTTCGAATCGCGCGACGGTCTCCAAATTTTCATCGAGCGTGGCACAGTACACGAAATTATGCAGCGGACGAAACGTCGAGGTGTGGGCTGAGGTCGAGCATCGTGGATTCATTTAACATAATAACGAGCTGGAGAGCGTGGCGATAATTGGCCACGAAGGCCGCGGAATTGCAACATCGTTTAAAGGAATGGAACGCGTTCCATTCTGTCCCGTGCGTACGTCTTAGTCTTAGCAATGGAAATGCGATGAGCGCGGAAAACTGTATCGTTTGGGCCACACGGGGAACGGAAGCCAAGGTGGTGGGGAGCCAAGGAAATGCCAAGTTCCATGCTGTTCGCGTTGAAATTCTAAAGTTTCCCACGTTCGCGTGTCCCATGAATCACAAAGGGTTCGCAGATATGAAAGTGCAATTGCCCGTTGCCTACTCGGCACGGTGGCGTTCGATGAAGATTTTTTTTTCGTAGCGCGCTCGTAACTATGTCGAGGTGGAACAGGCTGCTGCATAAATTCGCTCTCGCCCCGGTATATTTCATTTCTACGTATAAAGGCGAAGTTTATTCAAAGCGTCGGCCGTTTGCGCCGGCTACCAGAAACTCGTACGGCAATATGCTTCGACGTTGTTCTCCTCGACTGCGACCGTGTTCGATAGTATCAACCTGTACAAATTCGATCGTCTATATCCCTTTGTGATAGGCGACATATTTGAAAATTGACCGGTCTCCATCGAAGAGATTTCGGAGATATTTCTCGGAAAAGTAATTGACGGCTCGCGCGAAACAATTCAATCTGTTTACATATTTTCACATTTTTCACAGTTTCTCTCGCACAGTTTCTTCTCTACTACCATAGAATATTATGAAATTGAGTATCGTTTGAGTACGTACGCGTACTTGTGAAATCAACTCTTCTATATGGAGGAAATGTCGTGGATTGAGAATATGTAATTTTGAAGTATTTCATACTTGTATTTTTATTGGTATATACTTGGTAGGAGAGGTGTACTGAAGTTGTAAATTAAAATATCGATCGGTGTGACATCAATTGATATAGACACGCCCAGAGACTTATATGTCTTATAGAAGCAATCTGAATTTTAAATGTCATTTAGGAATTTAATTACGATTAATTAGACGTCAAATCGATTACTTTTTTATACGTACATGTAGAGTATAAGGAAAAAAGGACTCTGAATTAACGCTATATGATCCTGAAGGATATCATGAGTTTCTTGATCCTCGTACATGTTCTGAGTTACTGTTTCCTTTCTCCAAACATGCGCAAACTTTAATACCCGTTCGATTTTACGACTTCGTCATATCAGGTTGACCGAAAAGTTTCTTTCGTTTTATGAGGAAATAACAGACGTATAACGTTTTTTATTTTATACTATTTCGTCGAATTACGTACGATCCACTTTATTCTGTTGAGATAAACACCGCGATATTTCACAAACTTGGTTTCACGTTTGTACGAAGGTGCACTGTTGTAAAAAACACGTTTACGAAAGAATGACACTTTTCGGACAACCTAATATATCTTCCACTAACAGTAAGAGACTTCAATAACTTTCGCCATTTCGTTCATCATCAAGCTTTTACAAAACGATTCTCTATGTGGCATTTGTAAGATTCGAAGATGGTAGAACGACGAAAGGCGCGGATTAGCTGGAGGAAACCATATTAACGCGCGAGGGAAAGAGAAAAAGAACAATTTCAACGCGATTCCAGCGTCCCTTTCAATTAGCTTTTATCCTAGAATATGGAACGGTGATCGTGCTGCTGGTTCGCAGTTACGCGGAATAAAGGCCGAAGGTAATCTTGATTGGAGCGGAAAAAGGGAAAGAATTAGTCGAGTAACGTTATCAGTTCAAACAAAGGCGATATTATACTGGATGTGAACGTAGAAACATAACGTTCAAACGTGCTAGTGGCTACCTAACAATTATTCAACAGCGTCTGTAATCGTTTGCAAAAGTGATACTCGATATGATAAAAAAAAGGCACAACGTTCAAGTATGCTATTCGGCACCTAAGCATCGATAAGTTATCTGGTAGCGACTGAAATCGCGTGTACTGTTAACGTGTTAACGTGTGAATACTTGGCAAAGGAATTACGCCATTTTCAAAATTGATATCTCCGGTGCTGTAAGCTGGGTCCTTATGACAGATACGTTTCTACGTTTCGTCAGTATTGCAGTTAGCTTGGTCAGAGTTTGTAATATGAGAGACTGATGGTGTGTGGTGGACGATATCTAGCGTCAACCTGCTATTTAACTCTTTACGACCTGACGTTACTTTGTAATATCGTTCACATTGAAATATTGTTACGAAGCAAATATGCTTGAAACATGGCTAGAACTTGCGTACGTATGTCTAAATATGTACTACGTGGATATTATATTTGGCGGGAGTTAAAGAATTCGCGTTTCTCTTACCGGCTACGTCTTGCAGAGTCGATTTCTCGCCACAGCTGATAAAATGGGGATAGAAGGATACCATAACTATACCGTCAGTCTGCGCCTGAAACAGAGAAGAATGGAGAAGTTCGTTCGTTACTTTTCGTAACATTTCATAATTACGGAATTGAAGCTTAATAAAGACAAGTTAATTTCAGCGAGGTGAATTCTTGAAAATGTATATCTCTTTACGATATATATATATATATATTGTTGTAATTAATTTTTAACAAAAATAAAATATATAAAAAAGAAAGAGATTTCTAATAATATACACATTATTAATTCGTAGACTTTTTAATAATTCATATGAATTTTTATCGCATATTTGATGAAATTGAAAAATAAGCGGAAGGATTTTCAAAGAGCGAACTCTACTCCACATATTATGTTTGCACACGTTGATCAATATTTTAATTCCATGGAAGTAGGTTGCCTTTGACCTTTTCTTGTCTTTCTCGATTTTCTCTACGAATTTTCCGAACGACTCCACGTATCCAAGAGACTGGTAATTTAATTGTAAACGAGGAATTAGCTTTTCTTCTTCGATTAACAGGTTTAATATCGCGAGAACGATGCAGAGAATAGTTGTAACTTACCAAACGTTTCAGCGCATGGTCAGGCACATTTCGCGAGGAATTGCAAAGGGCGTGAGCGCTGCTATGGCTGAAAATAACAGGCGCCTTCGACGTCTTCATGGCGACCAGCATCGTGGGCACGGAAACGTGCGACAGATCCACCATCATTCCGAGTCGATTCATCTCGAGGACGATACTCTGGAAACGTTCGGTCGGTGGGATATAATTGGGATAAGTTTCGAGTATCGCGAGGACGGAGATTTTTCTCTCCGTTTTTTTTTTCTTTTTCCTTCTTTTACCGCGATAATGGTACTCGAGTTCGCGAAGCGTAGTTTCGCTCTTAAGTAGTTTCAAAGATATCCCGAGGATGCCGTATTAAAATCGATCAGTTCGTTTCTCGGATTTACCGACTGCTTTCAGAATCGAAAAGTCCGGATTAACGCCGCTTAACTGGTCGAAACGAGTCGATTATTCGGAAGGAAATGGTCAGGTGAATGGAAGAACGCGCACAGAGTCCTGCGGAATAATTGACGGAGTTGAAATGGTAAACGATATCAGCGCCAGAAGCGAAGATTTTCAGTTGAAACAGACAATGCATTTCCGCTAATTTTGACGATCATAGGCATCTAAGTTTTTCTACACGCAATATACAGGACATCTTTATCAAAGTAGGATGATAAAAGAATTTCAGTAGAGAGTTAGTTAGTTAGGAGATTAAAATATCGCTATCGTTTTCTATGTTAAGAAATGAATACTTTATTGTACGAACTTACGCGTTTATAAGTTTTATTTAAATAAATATGTCTCTTTCGTAAGACGACTCTCGTAAATGACCGTATATCGTTCATCTGACGAACGCTAGGAATTTTTAGTACTTGTCATGTTTATAGATTTACTGGGAGAGTAAGTGGTGGAAGATGAAATATTTGTGCACTATACTTATATCCCTATATCTTCAACTATAGCCTACCTGGTGCCGATCTGATGATTCTATAGCCGTATAAGCTAAAATAAATAATTCTGGTATACGTAACTATCTCGTCGAAAAGAATTCCACATAAAATTTGCATCCTTCCTCACTGGGAAGATCTTCTCTTTTTCCGACAGTTATATCCTTTCAGCGTTCGATACAAAAAGATTAAACTTGGAAAGTTAAACATCGATCGCCTGACAAATGAAAAGTTGCCTTCAGATACGAATGCTCGCTACTCCTTTGTAGCATGTTCACGTGTGATCCGTGACACTTATTGCAACGGTCGATCAGTCAGATTGAACGACAGTTCCTTGGACACTTTGTTTCCGAGGAATTCCAATCTGGAAACGTGGAACACGAAATTCATAGTTTCATACTTGCCGGGTTTCAGATATGTTACTTTATTCTATATTGGTATTTTAACCGCGTCTCGGTTACATTATTTGTTTCGCCAATTATCGTTAGGGATTCTGTTACGTCGCGTAACACTCTACCTAGCCCAGGTCACACACCGCGGGCAAGATGGCAACCAGATGTCTTCGGATACTCACTGCGTACCCTCAATAGTCTCAAGTACCTTCCATAAATCTCAGGAATTTCCTAGTCGAGGTCCTTCAAGCTGAACAAACGTCTGTTTCCGAAGCATTTCTAAAGACCTTTGTCTACTACGGCTTGACAAGGGAAGTTTTTCTCACGTATGATGCAACTTTCCTCCCACTAACCACTTTCTCTCGAGGGCGGTTAAGACCCTTCGTTTAACCAATTAACAACGAAGCCTATTTCCCTCACTCTCTTAACCAAAATCGTCACCGACAAATCCGATGGTCCCGTGCGCTAGACACACCCATCCTTAGCTTTCCTCCGCCACAGCATCGTCTCCGAACATCACTGATTTTACATCCTTCGAACAGTCAACATCCTTTGACCGGGTATACACACCCATAGATCAGTCACTCACTCATCTCGTACATACGCACCAGCGTAACTGTCTTCGTTATAAGTTGTTAGAATAAACTTACTATACTGCGATATATGCGATTACTATACTGTGATATATAACTTACTATACTGCGTCATATTCATTCAACCACCTCTGTTATCTTAACCGAAACAGGGGAACGACTACTTCGCGGCGTCGATTAACCGAATCGTAGCGAGAATTTACGCCTCTCGCTGACGCGTTTTCCTCGCGACCGCGTCTCTCCGCGAACGGTCGTAACAGATTCGTTCTAATAACCGTTTACACACGGTAACAAGCTGGTTTTGCAAAAAGTTTGTAGGAAGTCGGGTTTAGAAAACCGTATTTTTCTCGCAGATAAGAGATTTCCAATATGTTCTATCAAGAAATCTGCTGTCACGGCGGGGGAGATATCGTTCTTGATATCTGACGTCAGACTTCCGAGATACGGTTACTAATAGAAAATTCGATTTCACCAGTTGACACTTGTCAGTTCCGGCGGAACAAAAGGAAACGGGCACTGTGTGACTTCTTTCTCGTACGTATACTTGGCGTTCGTTGCCGCGAACAATTGTTCTTTTCATTCGAAGACGGGGCATTTCGTGTTTGCATGTACAAATAAAATACAACGAAATTGGCGCACGATCGATAAATACCGAAGGGTTACGAAAGTCTCGTGGTTTGTTCTTATTGACAATCGTCCGACTACAATTGGGAGAACAATTCATTCTCGTCCGTGGGTATACGAAGGTCTGCCAGAAATAGAGTTATCGTTCGCGTTCTAAGAACTCTTGCGCCGTTCCGGGCAACGTCTCATCCATTAAACGTAGATGCTTTGTTAAATCAGCGCCGTCATGGGTTGAATCTCTCAAGATCCCTGTTTATCTCGTTTTTCGTCTGAAACTACATAGCTCGTCTCTCGTTTCCGTTGCTTTCTCGTCTCGATGTGGAATACGCCGTTTTCATAACGAAGACTGGTTCTCATATTGCTGGTTCCCCTTCATTTGCGTCTCTGTATCTTTTGTTCGGCGTAACGTCATCGTTTTCAACGTATTCGAGGGAAATTAGCCGGGAGACGAATTTATCGTTAACTGCAGCGGCCATTATCACGAAATTAGCGAAGTTGCAGTATCTTTCGGGACGAAGTAGTCGTCGTTAGACTCGCACAGTTATCTCATGAATCCGGAGGATTTCTGCGCACCATCTTCGGGGCGGAATGCCTGCACCCGTTAAACGAGGATGCTTCATTAAAGTAACAACGCGATAAACTTCACTCTTCGGGATTGCTTCGCCACCCCTCGTCTTCCACCTCCACTCTTTTCCTTAAGCATGATTTCACTGACTTGGCACACACATTCCCTCTCTTCGGATCGTTTTGTTTTCTTAGCCGGGACGCGACGCGAAATCTCGCTTTGCGACTTTCTTCCGGTTTTCTCGTCGTGGAGATTTTAGCGTCAGCCTTCGACGGAAACATCCTGCAGCAACGTTGCATCCGCTTGCTAAAAGCAACGAAAAGGCGTTCCATCATGGAAGATGAAACGGGACTCGTGTATCGAAATCCACAAAGAACACAAAACCAACGAAATAGGGGACGGCTTCGTATTGAAAGCCGAGGAACGCGAATTTCTAATGTACGAACTCCTGAATCGTATGTTCCGTTTGATCGCGATAAGAAGAAGATGTTTTAACATGGAATATCAAATTTCTAGATGAAAATATTCCATTAAAAATTCGAGAGATCCGTTGTTCCTGTGGAGGATTGAACGAAAGGAGCTGGAAGAATGTTAAACGTTTCGCGGCGCAGAAACGTAAAAGGGAACACGTGCAAGTGACGCTCGACAGGATGATATTCGCCTTCGAAAGCGACTGCTTCATAAAAGCCTTAAGCGCTGTTCGCTTGGTTTTCTTCGATTGTTAGAACGATTTATCAGCTCGCGCTTTTCTTCGTTTTAATTCAAATTTGCTCGTCATTGCCATTCATTTCTCTGTATTGTTTTAAAATTTAGCTTCCGCTGACCTTAAACCTCTGTTACGACTGAGCACGGATTCTCCTGTTAATTTTTCACGGGGCAAGTTCCTACCATTGTCAAATGGAGGGGTGGCATTGCATAAAAAGATATTTAACTGGATGAAAAATGGTGGAGCTTCCCTCGTGGGGAAAGTTAGGCGAAGGTCTCGCTGATTTCTCCTTTCGTGATACACTCGCCGGCGATTCATTTCTTACGGAGCATAAGTCAGATGGCAGTTATATTTTTTCCTGACCATTGAAAGAATCCACCCTCGTGAATCTCGAGGTTAAGGTGGCGTAACACCGTGTAGTCTGACAGGATGACGAATCGGCTTCATTTCTTCGTTACTCTTTTTTTCCAAGCTACTCACTGTCGCTGTCTTAGATACTCTCCCACTTTTCCGAGCTGTTGTTTCCTACCGTAGGTGAAAACGGCAGAGTAGGGTCGTGACGATGGATCGTAAAAGGATCGTGAGCAGAATAGTAATTCATAAGGAAGATCTAAATCTGATTTACAGAACTGATTTCTGGGTACGACTATTCGTATCGAGTCAATGGGTGATTCTTCTTCAATTTTATAGAATAAAATTGACACGGTATCATTTCCATCGAATATACGTTCAAAGATATTCGAATGTGCGCGATAGCGTCCATGTTGAGTCTTCTAGCAACCTAGTTTTGCCGTAAAGAAGAATAAAAGAAAGAGATAAAAAGGAAATGAGAAAAAATCTCATTTGTTTGAATCGATCGAGGGTCGTTCGTTTCAAGAATGGGTTTCTTTGGTTAAAAGTTATCCACCGCTTCGCTAACAGATGATCGAACGATATATAAAACAATGTCGAGGAGAGGAATGTGGAAAAAGTTAGTTGGCGCTCGGTTTTTATCCGGACAGCACGAAACTGCGAAGATTCGTACTTTTGATCGTGGCAGAGTCACCAGGACACGGCCAGTTGCTCGGTCATCCCGTTCTTTCCAGGCGGTCAAACTTCGCCTCTTGATACTTCTGTTTGTTACCGGCTGCC